AAAAATTAGGTATAATAATACGTTGAAAGTCATTAAAAAGACTTCATTGATGGGATAATTGAAAATAGATATAATAAAAAGCATGCTATATATAGGGATAAATTATATTTACAAATTACACTATATACTTCGAAAAGTAAACACTTAAGTGTTTATACTCATCGGCTATGTTGCATCGACACTGCATAGGACACGACACGACGATAAGTTAATTCTAAAAAATGTTAAATTTCAACACGAGAGGATATATTTTGATATTAAATAATATTTTATTATATACAATATAACATACATTTAATACATATATTAATTCATAATAAGTCATATAACCAATCAAATATTCAAATTACATAACATAAATATAAAGCAAAAATAATTTTTCATACTTTGTTAATTTTTCATGTCAAATTCCATAATAGAAAATATTTGATTTGTAAATTAATTTTTCATGTTTATTTAAAAAGATAAAATAAAATAAACTTTGGATTAAAAAAAAGATCGGAAAACGTTGACTGCGTGTCGAACGAGTGTCAGAATGTGTTGAAAAATATGTCGGAGCGTTGATCGCATGTCAAAAAAAGTTAACCGTGTGTCGGAATGTGTCGAAACGTATCAGTACGCAATTTTTTCAAGAATATGCATGCCCGTGCTTCTTAGCTCCCCGGAGTACATAGTATAGTTTGTAAATAACAAGTTTATAAATATAATCCTACTCATATATATATGTGTGCGTGTGAAAAGTGTTTGTCCTTTTAAATGACACAATCTGGATCATTTTACTCTCACAAAGATATGATACCCACACCTTTATTTATTTTTTTGTCCATTCTCTCTCCTCCATGATCTATCTCTTTCTCTCACTTAAAATGACATTTTACATCCTTTAAAATGACACACAATTTTTCATGTATATATATATATATATGAATTATTATTTCTCATGTTGTAGGAGATAATTTTATTTCCTATACATACATAAAAATGTGTGGGGCCATGTTATTTTTTTTCTCTCTTCTCTTCACATGGATCACACACACTTTTATGGGTGTATAGGAAATAATTTTATCTCTTACAATATTAGAAATATTAATCCATATATATATATATTATATATATATATATATATATGGAGAATGTTATATTTACAAATTTTTTGTTTACAAACTCTTACAAACTATACTATATGTCTGACCGGTAATACACTATTGAGTGAAGTTTGACCAGTCAGACATAGTGTAATTTGTAAGTTTGTAAAATTTTTTTATAAATATAACATTCCCCTACATATATAAATATAGTGGCAGAGCCGGGCTCCAATTTGAGCCCGGCCAAAAAATTATATGTGTATTTATTTTTCTTAATTTTAGTTAGTTCATATCATAATATATTTAAATTATATTAAATACAGAGCATCTGAGCAGGCAATACCAAGAAGAGTTATAATTTTATTAAATACTTTTTAATTTTAGTAAAAATATTTTAATTTTTTTATACAAGTGAAAATTGAACACATAACCTAATACAACTGACTTAAATCTTTCACAAAAAATATTTTAAGTTTTAGATAGGGCCAAATTATAATTAATTATATAATTATATATAATAAATATAATTTGTTAAAATTTAGCCCGGGCCGAGACCACACCCAAGTTATATGTGGCTCCGCCACTATATATGTGTGTGTGTCTATATATATATATATATATATATATATATATATATACATATATATATATATATATATATATATATATATATGTGACATGATCTTTTGACACTGATATCAAACTTTGTTGATTTCTGTCAATCTAATGTCTATAATTTATTGAGAATTAATAATTAATTAATAAGTGTGACTTAATAAATTAGAATCGTTTGATTCACAAAATCAATGGTTAAGATTTATTGTCAAACTATCACTTTTTAATTATATATATATATATATATATATATATATATATATATATATATATATATATATATATATATACATGATTGTTTGACACCTCATAGAGTTGTTGATTTTACCTTTACCTAACAACTCTTATTTGACACACATACACACTTACTCACACACACATATATATATATAGTGACTAATATTATAATTAACTTTGGTTAAGGATTTGAATAATCCATATAAGGTTTTAGGTTCAAACCTTAATACCATCATTATATATAAAAAAAATATTACAATTAACTTTGTAAAATTGAGGGAAAATGTCTGAGATACTAACACCATTAAGAAGAAAAATTCATTGAATAAACGTTAATTAAGATGTACCGTAAAGGTCACTCATTATTGGAAGCTTGTGCCTTAAGTTACCAAGAACATAGAGAATGAATCTCCAAAGCTCCTCAGGCATGAGTTTATGACTGCCACCAATACTTAACATGGACATGCACGTTAAGACCCAGCTTGAAATTTATTGTAAAAATTTGTTTTAGCAGAATGATATAACTATAATCACTCCGTGTTCAAATTTGATGGCACAACAATGCTGCTATAACAAAAGCGATTTCGGATATTAAACGTGAATCAGCAAGAGCAATGAGTGGACAAATTGCGTTGAGCTCTGCAATTAAATGACTTTAAAAATACAACGGATGGATCACCTTATATGAAGAATATGCCTCCGAAATCTAAGTATAATGAAATCACTGTAGAGTGAAAATATCTGAATAATTTGTACTAGACTACAAATGCAATAAAAATTGTAGAAAAGAAAATTACAACGGGGGGAGGGAACCAACTAAAAATGCGGCTTGTATAAAGTGATAATAGCTTAGTTGGCATCAACAATCTGAGCAAGTAAGAGTAATAATATATATTTGATTCTCCCTAATATCATATTTGGGAGAGATTTAAAATTTTAATTTCAAGACCCATTTTGAATTAGACTAATCACAAAATGATGAACTGATTGAAATATTAAGAAAAAAAAAAAAAAAACCCGGCTCATAGCACGAAGCTTCCACCTTTGTAAGGTGTGGGAAGGGTTAGAAGTTGGATATACTCAATGTTACCCAAGTAATCAATATGATAATTAACATCTTTTCACACTCATATCTTTGACTTTCCTTTCTACTTCAGCAGAAATCCAATAACATAAGAGACCCATGTCTTATTGGCTGCTGCTGCTGTTTCTTTCAAAATCCATATTGCATTTTTCATATTAGATCTTCTAAATAATTAGTAAATAAAAAAAAATTACCAACCTTTATTAAGTAAACCTGCACCGTGACACTTGAGTTACCATTATACTAAATTAACAATTGAACTCCCAAACCAACTTAACACTCGATGGCGTAATTGATCAAAGGCTCATAAGACCCAGTGGGCGTCAGGAAAAAAAAAATTGAGATAGTGCCAAAAAATTTAACATATTAAATTATCAAAATATTTATTTTAATTACACAAATTTTTCAGGAAAAAAATTTATTATAAATTCTAACATATTTATCTAAATTATTTACTAAATAGTATCATATAACATTAAAAATTCAAATGAACAATTGTCAATAATTATATATCAAAACAAACATATAAAAATGCATTAACATTTTCTGTAAGTATTCCAAATATAAGAATTTTACTTTCCTCCAACAGTATAATACGTAATGAATCAAGCATTGTCCTAAGGAGATATGAGTATATATATAATGACAAATGAGTGGTTAAAAAAATGAGGAAAAAGATAAAAATATTATAATTTTGCTATATTTATTTAGGCAGTGTCAAATTATAATTTTAGCCATGGCCAAATTATAATCAACTATATAATTATATGTAATAAGTACAATTTTTTTTTTTTTTTGGTATGAACCTGGAGGTATCCTCATTCAACCTCCTCCAGTCACCTTGTCCTCGGAATACAGCCCCAAAGGCTACTTTCTCATTGGTACAGAGGGTGCATTGAGCTTTGCAACCGGAAGAAGGATGAGACTAATCCTCCATCGAAGAGCCTCATTGGTACAGAAGGTGCATTGAGCTCTGTCACCGGAAAAAGGATGGGAGTAATCCCCCATCGAGGAGAGAGACGATTCCTCTGGCCCCCAAAAAATTTTCAAAAATTTACTTGAGTTAGGGTTTGAACCCTTGACCCAAGCAAATCCTTGAGAACTCAATTGCCAGTTGAACTACCTTGTACAAAAATTTGGAACAAAGGTAGTAGTGGCAAGGGACTACCATGTTATAATATGGCTACCCCACTAATAAGACCAAACTTGTGTAGATGAGAAAAGCTCGCAAATGGTATACGTAACTAATGTCATTAATTAAAACATTGATAACCTGAATACATGCACAGTAATTATACAAAGTCAAAACTAAATTCTTTAGTTACATTATCTTTGTCATAATTTTAAATATAATCATTGTCTTGAGTGTTAGTTAGCCTATTGATAAGGATGTCTGATAGGTTTCTATAAACCGACAATCTATTAGAGCATAAAATAGCAGTAAAGCTAATTATAAGTTTCTATAATCCTGAAATATTTTCCAAGAACCAAGTTAGTTGGCTAGGAAAAGACAAATTAGAGAGGCAACCATGGCAGTTGACTTCACTTGGTGTTTTATACCTCGGACTTTCTCGATCATAATCAGGGGTTCTTGCTAAAAATTAATGGATAATAACCAGAGCTGGCTGCGTTGACACGCTTTTTCAATATTTGATCAAATCTGACAAATACTTATATCCAGCCATGACATTACCAATCCTCTTCCTTTGTTCCCGGTCCATCTTGTGAGAAATATGAACTCACATTGTGGAAAACCACAACTTCAACTTGAAATATAAAATGCTTTGAACAAAAGGGTAATGTTCAGCATATATAATTTAAATCGTTAATCCAGACTGTTGATGCATTAAACAAAGTAATATTCTCATCCATGATTGAAGGCCTACACTATATAAAGGGTTGCGATTCATACTTAGCGAAGCAAGCATAGACAGTTGATCTTATAAGGGAGGACAAGTGCTGCACACTGACACAAGATCATGGGAACTTTAGCAGGGGCGAGGCACTGGCCTCGACTCATCTATGCAATGGCATTTTGCCTAATTGCTATCAATGTCGCTGGTGATGAATGGCCTTACCATGCATCCCAGCCAACCTACTCCTATCCACCACAGCATGCAGAATACCCACCTTACCATTACAAATCACTTCCAAAGCATTTAGAACACCCACCCTATGATCACAAATTATCTCCACATGCTTATAAGTTTCCATCACCTTATGTCTATAAGTCACCACCACCACCATCTTCTTCTCTATCATCTCCATATGTCTATAAATCCCCACCACCTCCATATGTGTACAAGTCTCCTCCTCTACCATCTCCATCACCACCCCCTCCTTATGTCTATAAGTCTCCACCACCTCCATCTCCTTCACCTCCTCCTCTATATGTTTATAAGTCTCCTCCTCCACCATCTCCATCACCACCCCCTCCTTATGTCTATAAGTCTCCACCACCTCCATCTCCTTCCCCACCGCCTCCATATGTCTACAAATCTCCTCCTCCACCATCTCCGTCCCCTCCACCTCCTTATATCTACAATTCCCATCCTCCTCCATCTCCCTCACCGCCTCCACCATATGTCTACCAATCTCCTTCACCACCACCTCCATATGTCTATAAGTCTCCTCCTCCACCATCTCATTCACCACCTCCCTCATACATCTACAGGTCTCCACCTCCTCTGTCTCCTTTGCCACCCCCACCATACGTTCACAAGTCCCCATATGTTTATACGTCCCCACCACCACCATATCCAAAACCATCCCCTCCATATGTTTATAACTCTCCTCCCCCACCATCTCATTCACCACCTCCGTCATATATCTACAAGCCACCACCACCTCCATCTCCTTCGCCACCCCCACCATATGTTCACAAGTTCCCATATATGTATAAGTCTCCACCACCACCATCACCATCACCACCTCCTCCATATGTTTATAAGTCTCCTCCCCCACCTTTCCACTCACCATCCTTGCCATACATTCATAAGTCACCATATGCCTATAAGTCTCTGCCACCACCACCTTCTCCATATGTTTATAAGTCTCCTCCTCCACCCTCTCATTCACCACCCCCTCTATATTTCTACAAGTCTCCTCCTCCTCCATCCCCTTCGCCTCCCCCACCGTATGTCTATAAGTCTCTTCCTCCACCTTCTCATTCGCCACCTCCACCATATGTTCATAAGTCACCATATGCCTATAAGTCTCCACCACCACCACCACCTCTTCTATATGTTTACAAGTCTCCTCCCCCACCTTCCCATTCACCACCTCCTCCATCCCCTTCGTCTCCCCCACCATATGTCTATAAGTCTCCACCACTTCCATCTCCTTCACCACCACCTCCATATGTCTATAAGTCTCCTCCCCCACCATCTCATTCACCTCCCCCATATATCTACAAATCTCCACCTCCTCCATCTCTTTTGCCACCCCCACCATATGTTCACAAGTTTCAATATGTGTATAAATCCCCACCACCACCATCTCCATCACCACCCCCTCCATATGTGTATAAATCTCCACCACCACCACCATCACTATCACCACCTCCTCCATACATTTATAAGTCTCCTCCCCCATCTTCTCACTCGCCATCGCCACCATACGTTCATAAGTCAACATATACTTATAAGTCTCCATCACCCCCTTCATATATTTATAAGTCTCCTCCCCCACCTTCTTATTCACCACCTCCTCCATATGTCTACAAGTCTCCACCTCCGCCATCTCCTTCGTCTCCCCCACCATATGTTTATAAGTCTCCTCCACCCCCATCTCCATCTCCACCTCCTCCATATGCTTATAAGTCACCTCCCCCACCATCTCATTCATCATCTCCTCCATATGTCTACAAGTCTCCACCTCTTCCTTCACCTTCACCTCCTCCACCATATGCTCACAAGTCTCCGTATATCTACACTTCTCCTCCACCTCACTCACCATCACTACCACCTCCCTATATTTATAAATCTCCTCCTCCACCATTTGTCTATTAATCATTTCCGCCTCCACATTATGTCCACAAAAATTCACCATTTTACTTCTCCTACTTCTATACCTCACCACTTTTTCCTCCAAAAGTCTATTAAGTTAGTTAAACCAACTTAAATTGTTTCAATAAAATTAATCATGTCACACATTATTGCGGTTTGTAATTGGGACTTCACTATAATAAGGTGTACACTAAAGAGTCTTATTGTGACCACCAAACACATGGATCAATTGACAGAGAGTTGTTCCAGTTTCACCAGTGGCCTTGAGTTCTGATCTTTGGTATTCAGTTGTGTTAAAACTTGGTACTGAGAGATTTGTCGCTCTTTTGGTTCTACCCAGCTCAAATCCGGATTATGCTTAGTCCTCTTATGTCAGTGTTCATTTATAAGTTTATTTTTGTTCTAGACGTTTTTCATGTAATTTTATATATTTGCATTTGTTGTGCATTATTTTCCATTTCCTTGTTTGCATTATATCCTATTCAAAATAAAAATTTTATTTGATAATACTTTACTATTCTACATAATATTAGCTGTCTCTCTCTATTTATTTACTTACCATTATCTCTGTCCAATTTCCACATTTGTTTAAATAATACATTGGTGAAACTGATGAAGAGACATTGAGGCGAATATGAAACTATGTATAAAATTTTGAAATATCTCTCTCCCAATAACTTGGAAACATTAACTAATTACTCATACAAACAACATGATGAATGCCCTAGAAAAAGGAATGATTATTATGAAATTTCAACCTAAGAAGAACTCAATCAAAATTCGTCCTAATTTATGTCGTAGTTTCCATCTTATGATTGGAATATATATGAATTAAGTAATTAATCTAATATAATAAAATAAATTTCATTCTTCATACCATTGTTGTAAAACCCGGCCCGACCAGGCCGGGTCAACCCGGAACTCGGTGAACCAGTCATCAGACTGATTCAGGTTAAGCATTGGACCAGTCATGCATCAACCCGGTCAAACCCGGCCAAACCCGGTGACCCAGTCGGGTCATGCATTTGAAAAAAAAACCAAAATTGTTTCATCTTATCAAAAAAATGTAAATCTCATTTTAATTTTTTTTTGTAATTTTATTTACTAGTATACTCTTTTACAATGACTTCTTAGTTTCCAATACTGAAGTAATTTGTGGAATGATAAATTAGAGAATGTGACATATGTTATTTTAATGTAGTTGAATTTGAAAACTATGAGTTCAATGTCATTGAGAGATATGTTTATGAGGATTCTGAGTTGCAATTTAAATTGACATAGTAATAGTATGCACTTTTATTTATTTATGCTTCATGCTTTTTAGCTTATTTAGTGAACCTTGTTTAATTCATTTTAGATATGGAGAATATAATTAAATTTATATGTTCATATTTATATATATTTTTATATATCTATATATATACGGGTCAGCCGATCCGACCAGTGACCCACCGGTCCGACCAGTGACCCAGTACCCCGACCGAATCGATGCCCGGGTCGAGTTTAACAACAATGCTTCATACAGTTTCTTGATTTATTTATTTTCTTTAAGATATGTAATTTTACTGTTGAAAAATATTTTTTTGTTTAATAAAAAAATTTAAATTCAATAATTTTTTTATGTTCAAATTTCCTTTTCCTCATTTTCGTTTTTATATTTCATATTAATCATTTATTATTATTTTTATGCTAATTTTTCCCTATAAATTTAAATTGTGTATACTCTCAAATTAATTACTTTAAAATTCACCTTTATATATTAAATTAAAGTATATTTTTTAGGTGTGGCTTAACTTCTAATTCTACTTTTTCTTCATTTTTATTTTTTATAATTTTAAATTTAAATTTTTGAACTAATTATATATATCTTTTGCATAATTTTAAAAATTTCTATATTATATATTTTTAAGACTATATATGCCTCAATCTTTTCCCTCAATTTTTCATTTGGATTCACTAATCATTGATCTTAATTAATTTGGAATAAAAATATTATTAAATATTGATGTTGATATTAATATTCTTAAGACTATATATAAATTAATTATGCGTACTTCCTTTAAAATTATTTTTTCTCAAATTATTTTTTGAATTTTATTTAATTTTAAAAAATACATATATGAATACCAATGTAATTATAATTGAGGCCATTAAAATACTCTTAAAAAGTTAATTTTCATAAATTATGGCAATTACTAACAAACTAAAACTTAAATGCAAATACATTCTTGTCACAAAATAAAATAAAATAATATTTAAATATAATATATTTTAAGCTTATATGAGAATGTTGTGGCAGGTTGTAGTGCAACATCATTCAAAATTGTTTAATGAAACATTATAAAAGTTGTATATTTCATATCAATAACCAACTAATAAAATTTATTGTAAGACTAAAAAATATATCTTTAGGGTTGAATCAGGTGTACTGATCAGAATAATTTTACCTGAGATGACCATAATTTGATAAAGCTTCCTTTGCTGGTGATTTGATGTAGTTTTACCCATGGGTCTTTAATGGAACAAGGTGAGGATGTACCTCCAAGACACTTCGAAGCTCGAGTCAGATATTGTGTAAGCAAATTTTAATACGTTGGAGAGGATGTGTACCTTTGTTTGGAACACTTGTATTTATAGTGAGGAATGACGGTAAGAACTCGCACCGTTAATTAAGGAAATTAATTAATTAATTAATTATGTTAAATTAGGAAATAATTCTATAATTGACCCTAATAATTATTATGAGGCTTTAGTAATTATAGTAAGTGGGTAATAATGCTGAAAGTCGCTTTTCTGACGAAAAGTGAAGATACCGGTTCTGCTAGTCGGTATAAATGTGTACCGAAAAAGTATCCCGGAAAATTATAATAAGTACATGATAATTCCTAGAATAATATATAGGACTTGTAAAACGAGTTTCAAGTTACAATAATGAGAACTGGTGCCAGAAACTGATACTGGCTATGAAAAGCGCGTACCGGAAAGGTGCTCCGAAAAATATTATAAAAATATGATAAATCTTAAAAAATTGAGTAGGTTAAGAATCCTGAGTTTGGGATTAAAATCCTAAGCGTAGCAATTAATGTTAATACTGTGTGTTTAATTGTTAAGTGACTATATATACTCTTATTTGCACAAAACCCTAGACAACTCCTTCATGCTACGTGACTTGTTGAGGGTGGCTGACCAGAAATACTGTTCTATTGGCTTCTCTTCTCTATTTCTTGAGGTTTGAGGTCATTTTCTTCTTGAAAACTTCTCCTAAACACTTGTGGTGAGTGAAAGTGGGCATTGGGAGTGTGTTGGTGGCCTTGTTCTGAGTTTAGGGTGTTGTTCTTTTTGTGTTGAGGTGCTGACTTGGTTGTTTGGGGTTGGTGGAGCCATTGTCATGGCACTTGATGCTCCAAGGAGTGATCTGTGAGTGCAAAGAACCCACATTTGTTTACATTTTCGTTTTCTTTTCAAGTCAGAATCTTTAGGAGCTTCAAGTGAGCTCCAAGAGCCTTCCGTTGCTGAGTTTGAAGCCTTGGGTAAGTGTTGAACCTTTGATCATGAGTTTTGTTGAGTAAAAGAAGTGTCTTGGCATGTTTAATGAGTTAAGCAAGTTTGTAATCTGAGTATGAACTTAAAACAGAATAAAAATGCATGCTTTGACGTTTGGAAGTGTTAAAAATGGAACCTTGGATGGATATCTTCGTGAAATGCAGAAGCTGCATTCTGTCGCGAAATATCCAGATATGGATATCCGGATATGATATCCGGATATGGGGTCCTTTGATATCCGTATATGGATATCCGGATATGATATCCGGATATGTCCCTGACAAATATCCGGATATTCTGGGATTTCGAAAAACAGTAGCTGCACTGTTCATACAGTAGGCTATTGGGGGTTTGTGGACCCTAGATTGATGAAGTTGAACTTATGTAATAACTTAACTAAGTAAGAATCTAAGTGATTAAGGGCTTGTGGCTTTGTGAGAAGCCTTAAGACGTAAAACGTAAAAGAGAAGCGTTGTCTTTATGTTTATGCTTATGAGCTATGTTTATTGATATGATTGCTGGTCCAAATCAGATTGTGATTCTGCTGTGTTTGGACTTTGAGCTTGTGTGGACTCTTGAATTGGATAGTTAGCTTAAAAGGTAAGCTTTCGTGTCCTCGGTTTAGTCATTGTTGGTTCCACCATTTTCCATGGGGGGATGGTTGTATGCATGATGTGTTTTCGTGTACTGTTTATTTGAAATGCTATGGAGCTGTTAAGTGCAATTGCTTATGATATGTATGTAGTGTTACGCCTACAGGAGGCCAGGGGGCGATCCTGTGGGCGGGTGCAGTGAATGGCTAGTACCGTATGGGTTTATGGATTCCTACACTTCTATGATCAGTAGAATAGTTAACACACATGTCATGATTATATGCTGCATTGCACTATTTTGAAAATTATATTGTTAAACTGCTTTTGAACTTATATTGCACATGTAAGTGAGCTTGGGGTGGAAGATCCTTGAGGACCCCTTGTCTTACTGAGATTTCTTGTTTAGAGATCTCACCCCACGTTTGGGGACGCTTATTTCAGGTTCAGGTAATTTGGGGGATGATGCCTCTGGCGGCAGGAGGCCAGAGCTGAGTTAGATTATGTTGTTATCATGTTATTATGATGTATGCTGACATGATGTGGACTTGGTTGTTGTTTATGTTCCCTGTCATTTATGATTATTGAGTTGAGACTGTTGTTGGGCTTGTGTCTTATTCGGTGAGCATGGGGTTGGTCCATGCCACTTTGATTTCCGTTTGGTTTAAGTTTATCTGTGTTGTATAAACTAATAGATGGTCCGGCCTACGTGTTGTAGTTCCGTGACTAGAGACATATTTATGATATTAATTAATGAGGTATTTCAGTTAGTTGTCTTTTGCAATATTCATACAGGTGATGTTTTTATGAAAATGGTTAAGTAATCAACTTGGCTAAGTATAATGACGTCATAATTGAAGAGAAAAAAGA